AAACTAGGTGCTGTTGGCCTACGCACAGCATTTCTGGTGTTTCCAGACCCAGTGTAACACCAGGCCTCCCTCCTATGGAAGTGGGGGACCACCTGATGATTGCTTCATTCTGGACAGGCGCTATGCAGGGCAAAGGGCAGAATTCTGTCCCTGCTTTGAGGAACCTGTGCTCCGGGAGAATGGAAGGAGGGACAGGCATGAAATTAATCAGCAATTTCCAGAGCTCTCCTTCCAGGATGGAGCTCGATGCTCACTGTGCTGTGCTCGTGTGCTGCCCTTTGCTGCCAGCTTCATGGCTGATGCAGACAAAGAGATGAGTTTCATAAATCAGGGCACAACTTCTGTCTCTCAAGCTTGGAAAAAAACAAGAACTATGGTCCTAATCTTTCCTGACCCTTCACACACCTCATCTCAAGCCTTGACATTTCCGATGAATCTCTCCAGAGCCATTACTATGCTTTGTAACTGCTGCAAACTAGAGGTAGTGGACCAGAGAATGGACCAGCTCTCTCTCTCTCTCTTTGCCTCTCTGTGGCTCCCACTGGCACACAATCAGTGGTAGTCACGCTCCCGGATCACCACGCCAGCCACATGGTGAGGAGGCTGCTCTGACATGGAACAGGCCAACACGAAGATCGGGGCCTAGCCCAGTGTAGTGACTCCCTGCCTGTTTTTCCCCAGGTGCCACAGTGGGGATGGTCCTATGAGATTTCCGGCCTCATTTGCTCCCCAAGGCTAGAGGGGATGCGCATGGTACAGTCCCCTGGGGACCCAGAAGCGCTACAAACATGCCATGTAAGGAATCAGAGAGAGGCTGGGTAAGCAAGTGCTTCACAAATCACAGGCCTAACTGCTCAGCTACTTGTGGAACTGGGCGTAGCTTGGGAAGCCCGATCAACCGATACCAGGGCCACAATACCATTTCATCTTGCTGTCAGTCTCCAGCCCCTGTTGTGCATCACTGGGCAATAAGGATGCAGCTGGTCCTATCCCCAGGCAGAAAGCGCTCTGCATGTCCACGTCTTCACGGCACTGCTTATTCCTTGAATCATTCACCTAGGTCATTTAATTCATGAGTGGAAGCTGCCAGCTACGTGTTTACCCTACCATATAAAAAGCCGTGGTGCGACAGAAAAGAGGAAGAACTTTCTAGGGTTCAGACGAGGCTGACTCTATGTAGAAAGAGCTTGCTGGATGGAAGGATTTAAAAAATATTGTGTGCTATCTTTTGGGCTCTACGTATATTCAAGGTCTGCAAGTTTTCAATGTCAAAGCCACAAAAAGCACCGTGAAAGAAAAAAAGTGGAAACTGGACTTCATCTAAAATGTTAAAACCTTCCTCTCATTAAAAGACACAATTAGAAAATGGAAAGGCAAATCACAGGCTAGAAAAAATATTTGCAACATACAGCTGACAAAGGACCGATGAGCAGAGTATCTACAGAAAAAGAGCTCCCACAAACCAAAACTGAAAGGACAAATATTTCAACCAGAAATGGACAAGAAAACTTGAACCGATAACTCCCCGGAGAAGCCGTACCCACAGTAAGATGTCACATCACACCCTTCAGAATGATTGCTTAGGAGAAGGTGGAGCATCTGGAACTCAGATCCTGCTGTGAGTGTAAGATGGCACGCAACTCGGAGAACCCTTTCTTATAAAGTTAAACACGCTCCTGTTATGTGATCCAGCAGTTTTCCACCTAAAGAAGTGAAACCAGATATCCACGGGAAGACTTATACAAAACATTCCTAGAAGCTTCATTCACATTAATCGGAACTGAGAAGCAACCCAACTCCCCATCACCAGGAAAATGAATGCACCAACTGCGGCATTCAATACACAATAGAATACCCCTCAGCAATGGATGTGCAGAAACTGCTGCTATGCCTAACAGAACCGCAGAATATCACAGGCACTGGGTTGAATGAAAGAAGTCAAACCCCAGGGTACCAGGTGTGGGGTTCATCTGTAGGAAACCAAACAGGCAACCGCTTTCTGTGGTAGCAGAAAGCAGAATGGGGCTGAGGGTGGTTGGCTAGAGAGCGGGCTGGGAGAGATTCCTGGGATGAGGAAGCACTATATATGCTAAATGCAGCCGGAGGTACAACTGTATAAATTTTTCAAAGTGCACTCAATTCTTCCCCTAATCCATGCACTTCACTGTATGCAAATCACATTCTTACAAGCAATTCGTAAAAAGGTGGTACCAAGTTGGAGTGCCAGACCCTAGGGGCTGCTCAGGAATCTTCCTCCCTTGGAGTCCAGCTCAGATCCCACTCCTGTGAGCTCAGCTTTGCTGCCCTCTGCTCATGCCAGGTTGTCAGGAGGGTTTCCTCCTCTGGCCCATGGCAACCTATGGGTCAGCAGAGGTATCAGGTTCACAATTTACCATCCGGGAATCCTTAGGATCCGTGCACATCACCTGAGGGGCAAAGACAACTGAAGTTGCAGATGGAATCCAGGCTGCTAATCAGGTTGCCTGGACCCTGGGTTATCTGGGTGGCCATCTAATAACACAAACCCTTAAGATGGATGAGGAGGAGGCAGGACAGAGGGTCTGAGATGCAATGAGAGAGTGACCTGACCCACAGCTTCTGGGCTGAGAGGCAAGGCTGGGGCCAAAGTCAAGAACACTGCAGCCTGTGGAAGCTGGAAAGGGAGGAAAGGGAGACCCCCCCCATCATTCAGGGCATCTGGAAGGAATGCAGCCTTGCCTGGTGGGCCCCATGCCAGATTTCTGACCTCTAGAAATAGCAAGGGAATAAACCTTGTTGTGTGAAGCCACTCTGCAGCAATTTGTTCCAGCTGCTAAGGTCCTTAATTAAGGATTTTTCCTCAAACAACACTATACTTGTTTCCACAACAAGCCGCCATCTCTGGAAGCTCCTTCCTAGTGGGGCCGGGAAAAGCCACAAGCTCTCATCTGGGAAATGGGGCAATGTCACAGGAGGTTGGGGGGTGCAGGCCACTCCAGCTGGGACCTTTCCTGCCCAGTCCAAGGAGCCACTATTTTCCAGAGAATGGAGAGAGCAGGAGGCCCCAGTACATCTCTGTGGCCTTGCAGGGCTGCCCCATGCGGGCATGGCACAGCAGGAATGCCCAACCAGCACACCTGAGTCTTTCCAACAAAGGACTGGAGGAGAGTCGACTCGGCGTGGCTCTGAGGGTCAGGGCAGGAGAGAGATGAGGAGGTGAGCCCACTGGGGAGTCCAGGAGGGACGGGAGGAGGGGGCTGGAGAGGAGAGAATAAAGTCATGGATGTAGTCTTGACCTTCCCAGACCTCAGAGACTGCGTGCAGGGGAGGACAGAGTGGACAAGGGGTGAACATGTGCCGGGTACCCAGAGCTCAGTGTTCCTGTCACTACATCCAGCAAAACCCATTCCTCCTGCTTGCTGGCTGCCAACCCCCACCTCGCTCCCTACGGAGCACAATCCTTTTTTTTTTTTTTTTTTT